TTGATACATTAGCTATTTATTTTGGATTAAGAAGCCCTTTAAAAAAAAAAACTATTTGTTTTAGATAATTTGCATAGCTTATCATTGCAGTAAGGTTAAGTGTGACTTTAGAAAATGAATAGCATATTATTTTCTCTTACTTTCTCTTAGTGGGTATAAGTTTACAAGGAATCCATAAGTCACTTTAGGGCTGGAGAGATGATTCAGTTGATAAAAAGTTTTGGATGTAAGGGTATGAATTTGACCTTGAGACAGAAGCGAAAATATTTCAGTTTGACTAAAATATGAGGGTAAATCGGGAAGAAGATTAAGTTCAAGTGCTTGCCAAACAATCAAGAGGACTGGTGTTCTGATGGACAGGACCCAGGTACGCATGTCAGCTTGTCTGTAATTCCAGCCTCAGAAAGTAGAGACATAGGACTCTGAGTAAGCAGGCTAGCAAGCCAGCCTTGTTATTGAGCACTGGATTTGACTGAGACACCCTGCTTCAAAGAATAAGTTCAAGAGTGATGAATAAAGATTTCCAATATTGATTTTATGTCTCCTTATGTATGCAAACACACACATATCAAAACATACTACATATGTGCATGCATTACACACACACATACACACACAAAGGGAAAAGTAAGTAAGTAAATAAATATGAAGGTCAAAAGAAAAGCAAAAAAGGTAAGGTTGGGGAAAAATTGAAGGTAGACTGAGAAGCTCTTAACTCCCAAGCCCAAAAAAAAAAAAAAAAAAAATCTGGACTGCTTTTCTGTAACTAAGGAAGAGTGACTAAAAGTGCTAGAAATTCCACAGATGGGCACATAAGCAGGTCAAGAGAGACTGGAATGACAGGCTGTACAGAATTAAGAACTAAATCATTGGACCAGTGAGATGGTTTAGCAAGTAAAGCCACTTAACCACTCACTCAGATGACCAGAGTGCCACGGAAGGATCTACACAGTGGAAGGAGAGAGCCAACTGCAAAGTTGTCCTCCAGCCTCCAGCAGTGCACCCCCCCCCACACACACATGCACACATAAATCAACTGAAGTGCAATCTAAACACTGAACCAGTAGGCAGCATCTAACTCCAGTTTCCTGCCTCTATCATTCTTTCACTGATTTTTGTTCTTCAATTTTTAAGTGGATGGTCACATTATCTGAGCAATAGTCCAAAAAACTACACAAACACACATACAGTTTAAATTCCTTTCAAACTGTTTCCTGTTCCATTAACTTTGGAGCAATCTGTTCTAGAAGCAAGGATCATTGCTGGACATGGTGGCACATGTCTTTAGAACCAGCATTTGGGAGGTGAGGCAGGCAGATCTCTGAATTTGGGGTCAGGATGGTTGGTCTATTTATATCAGGTCAGCCAGAGTTCTATGGTAGGACCCCAGTGTCCAGACAAACCAATGCTTACATAATGTCTCCTTCTGTCTCTCCAGTCACCATCTAGCATCCAGGTCTCCTGCTCTATAGTTTGTTGTTTGAACCTTCAGGTTCTGTCTATTTATATTTATCACCTTCCTGGAAGGGACTACTGTTCGCAACACCCATCTAGTTCATTGGCAGTACACAGACATCACTGTAGTCTTTGGGCTGACAGCACAACACAGAGACTTATTAATTATGATAGCTCAGCCTTACCTTAAGCTTGTTTTCAACTAGCTCTTATAACTTAATTTAACCCATTTATATTAACTTATGTTCTGCCATGTGGCGTTACCTTTCTTCTATCTCTCACTTCCTGTTTCTTCTCCATGTCCAGGTGAATCCTGGGGTCTAGATTCCTCCTCCCAGTCTTTCTCCTCTCCTCTCTCCTCTCCTGTCCTCTCTTCCCTTCTCCACTCCCCTCCCTTCACCTCCATCCCCTCTCTCCCTTCCTCCACTCTCTCTGCCCAAAAGTCCTGCCTAGTCTCTCCTGCCTGGCTATGGACCATTTAGCTCTGTATTAAACCAATCAGAAGGCAGACACGCATCTTTACAGTATAAACAAATGTTCCTCAACAACTGTCATCTGCTGGAGTATATGTACTGATGGATGGTGAAGATCCTCTCTCTGCAGGAAGAAAAGGAATTAGATCTTGAAGCTACAACAGCTGCTGCTCTTGCCAATCCTGCCTGTCTGCCTGCCTGCCTTCCTTCCTTCCTTCCTTCCTCCCTTCCTTCCTTCCTTCCTTTCTTCCTTCCTTCCTTCCTTTCTTCCTTTCTTCCTTCCTTCCTCAGGGACTAATGAGTTAAAACAATCAGGCTATAAACACAGTTCTCTCTGCCATCTTTCAGGACCAAAGCCATACATGGAACAGTCCATGTGAATCATTTAATGGAAGGAAACCACTGAGCAAAACCACCTATCTCATACAGCCTAAAACCCATCAGTTTGGGGGTTCACTTAGGTTAAAAAGAAGCACAATCCCGGACAAGACAGCTGAGAGCAGACTTCACCATGGGCTTCTGCATTGGGAAATCAATCTGAGTAACTTGATCCACTTAACTGGAAGAGGGGTTTGATCTGAGAGAAAGGAATAAACAAGGACAAAGGGTAAAAAAATCTTCAAGGTAACTTTTGGAACCTAATATATTTCCAAGGAGAAATATAAGGAGCTAGAAAGAACTAAACATCACTGCCAGGGCACTGGGAGCCTGAAGGGTGGAACATGAATACTAGCTAGCCTAAGACATGGAACAAACAGGAACCAGCTGAGAAGTGAATGAGCTCCTGAGACTGAGCTTGCCTACTTCTAAGGCCCTTACAGATTGGAGAAGGTTGACTCTAGTTGTCACTTTCTGAGGGAGACAGAATGAGCTGGGATGTGCATGACTCAATGAAGCTGGGAATAGTGGAGGGAGAGCTAATGCCAAGAAAGGCTGCAAAACTGGAATCTAACATGAAGTGTACTCCATTCAAATTAGAGATAGCATCAGGGAGGCTTTCTCTCTGTTTTATCCAAACTATTAATGCTGGAAATCCCGAGTATGTCTGGGTCAAAGAAACGTGTTTTTAATAGTCAGCATTAGAATTTAGCACTCTTTAGTAAAACAACTCCTCCAGCTCAGAAAAAGTAAACTGTGATCAGTTGGGATATGAAGACACAAAGAAAAGTTAGTTTCCCATACACACGTCCAGTAGAGAAGATTGCATTAATTATTTTCAAAGTCCCTAAAGTCCAGAGCAACCCAAACACTCAAAAGCAATGGTGTTATCTCCACCCACCAATGTTTGCAACCATCAGTTTGCTCCCCTCTCAAGAGACATCTTGTCCAGGTGAGGGCTTCCCTACCAGACATCATCTCCCCCCTTCCCCTACAGAACCAGTGATGTGGAACTCTGAGCCCTGGGCCCATCCCATCTCCTCATCTCAGTTCTACAGTTTTGTTCTCTATTGTGGACATAATTGTGTGGTCATGTACCTCTATCCCTTTGACTTCTTAAACATAAAATATATTTCTAATCCTCTTCCACAGTACATGGCCAATTCTACCATAACCCTTCCTCTCTCTGACTTCTCACTGAATGCCAGGGGCAGGGCATCTCTGCAGATTCAGTATTAAGACAAATTGCCAAATTTGGTAGGAACTTTCTAATCTTGCATGACTCTAAAGGACTTGGGTGACTTTAAGTTTATTATTCAGATGATTACATGCTGTTCCTATCAGTAACTCCTGTCTCCCACTCCACCACACGCTTTTAAAATGAAGCCCAAAGTCAACAAAGGTGGCCACCTACTGTACAGCCACAGTATTCAACATTGTCATTACTGTCATCCAAACTTGGCAATGGTCCCAAAACTTAACAGTTACAGTGATACATACTTTCATAGTGGCTAAAATCCTTACTTCTTTTTCTGCCATGACTCAAAAACCCCATTCCATAGTAATTTCCTCTTCTACTTATCTACTAATTCCCCTCCTGATAGGTGACCAGGTCCCAGTGGCATCCTTCTATAACACGTCAGAAGCCCTGTTCTTGCCCGCAGGTGTGGCCACACAGCTCAGCTCTATGCTGTCCTGAATCACCGCACCATGAATGACTGACAGACAGAGAGTTATCTCTGCACAAGTACCCGCTCTTGATGGAGTACTTCTACATCTATTTTTCTCTCAACAACCCAGGGAAGGCTGAACGTTCTTTCCATGTTCTAGTTAAGAAAACCACAACTCACCAAGGACAGGATGGCTTACTCGGAATCAAGCAGATATTTACATATTAAACAATAAAGTTAAGACTCAAGCTCAGCATTTCTACATCTAACTCAACTCTTTGCAGACACATTTCTAAGAATATACATAGCCAACCAAGTGATCCCCAGCATCTCTGGTGAAGGTCTGTGATGGCTGCCCTAGGCTCTAGGTAGAGCTTCAGTCCTCGCCCATTCCACGTCACCTACTTTCACTATTTCCCACTCTAAGCACCAAGCCTGCACATATGAACTTATCCCGCCCACTTGTTTACAGTTTCAGTGCCATGTTCTCTGTCCTACCTTTCTCCTGTCCTATTCAAACTGTCCATTTAGAGTGTGACCTGCTGGCCCACCTACCAGGTAGCTGTGGATACAAATCAGCTTATAGGGTTGTATCAAGAACATATAAACATTACCAATTACTCTATTCAAAAGAAAGAAACAAAGAAAGAAAGAAAGAAACAAAGAAAGGAAGAAAGGAAGAAATTCCTCCTGTCCTTGATCTGAAATAATGACAAAAAGGAGCTGCCAGAACCAATAAGAGCACTGACCACCTCAATTTAGGGTTCCCAACTAGGAGTTAGCTCACCAAGCTGTAAATGGGTATCAAGGACACATTTGTTCACCTGTGGTCCCAAAGGTGCAAGATGAAATATGAGTGCTTTTTAATTAACTTCTCATCACTAGTGACAGTCCTAGCGCTACATAGCAAGGTTAACCAAGGTAAGAGGCTCCTACCTGCAGCATTTTCACGATAAGGAGGAGAAACAGTTAATCGTCCTCATATGTGCTCTGGGAAAGCAGCAGCTGGCTACGTATCACTTACCGGTTTATCCTTGATGGTGGGGCTTGACACACATAGGTACAGTTTCCCATCCTCTTCTAGGCAGGCATCTATCAAAGCTTGCACTGAGCTCTCCTCCTGGAACAGCAGGAAGGCATAGCCTTGGGAAAAACAAAGCAAGAGGGTGGAAGAAATCAGTACTTCAACCTCACAGCAGTAATGAAAATATTATCTGTAGCAAGTGTGGGGTCTCAATGCTGTAATCCCAGGCTCAGGAGGCTGAGGCAGGAGAGTTGCCATGTGCACTAACCTGAGCTACACAAGGAGTTACAGACCAGTCTGAGTTACAAAGGAAGAAACCTACTGCTTCGTTATTAATAAATTCACTATTAAGAAACACTGGCTATTCAAATGGGGCAAATGGACTTGAGACCCACTTGAGTTGAGCACTAAGTTTGGTGCACACAGACAATTATCTTGCTTAATTAATTCACAGGCTATGGTGATAGCTGGGTGCTCTAATATTACTTTGTTTAATTTTTATAACTGTTCAAGGAAGCAAGTTCAAACACCTCTATGGACCTCATCTTCACTAATGAATACAGGTAGACTCAAAATGATGCAAGCTACAAATAGCAGTCAGAAAATTCCACCCATCAAGCAAGGGCCTCGACTCATGCACAGCAGGGATGGGTCCTGAAAACACTGTGTAAGTGACAGGAGGCAGAAAAGGCACATCAAGACAAAAAACAAACAACAAAAAGTAAAAACAGATAATGGCTACCTGTAACTAGAGAGAGGTCAGGGGGAATAGTTTCTTTTTGACATAAAGAGCTTTTAAAATTGATCCTAGTGACTGATGGCTGTACAAGTCTGTTAATACATAGAAAACTACTGAATAACAATATGAAATTGATGAACTGTATAGCATGTGAATTATAGCTCCCCAAAGCTGCTTTTAAACAGCCCAGCAGGCGGATGCGTATTTATAGCTACTGCTGCTGTTTCCCCAAGGAATATTCTCCTGGCAGAATTACAATCTCCAAATGTCAATGTTTTTTTTTTTTTTCTCTTAAAGCTTTTAAGGATTTTTTAAAAATTCATTCTTTGTAAACTCCATACTTGTATATAATGTGTTTTAATTGTGTTCACCTCCCTTCATCTCCCCAGCCAGCTTATGTTCCCTCCTCCTCCTCTCCTTGTCTTCCCTCTCTTCCTCCTCCCTTCCTTCCATCCCTCCCTCCTCTTCTTCTCTTGTTTTACATAACCCACTGAGTCCAGTTAGGCCTGTCTACGTGTGTGGTCACCCACTGAAGCCTTGACAAACTACCCGTGGCTACACTCCTGAAGAAAAACGAATTCCCCACCCCCAGCAACTATCAACTACTAATAGCTCCTGGGTTGGGGGTGGGGCCTTGTGAGACCCTCCCCAGTCTGTGCTGGAATTTTGACTGGCTTGATCATATGCAGGCAACCAAAGCCTGTGGTGAGTTCATGATTGCAATGGCCACAACGTATCCCAAAAGACAGCATTTTCATGGCATTCCTCTCCACCCTTAGGCTTTTACATTCTTCCAGCCGTCTTCCTGGATGGATGTTCTCTGAGCCCTGGGGTGGGGTGGGAGAGGATTTTGATATAGATGTCCCATCCACAGGGAGTAATTACAGCCACTTACTATCTTCACTTTGACCAGCAAACATCAATATTGACTGAAGGGATTTCCATGGATATAGCTGGGGGTGGGGAGTGGGGGTTGTTTTGTTTTTCTTTGTAATGGCGTGTGTGATTTCCTTGCTGAGACAGCGTCTGACTGTACCAGGCTGGCCTATAACTGGATGTGTAACTCTGGTTAGCCTCAAACTAGACATCTTCCTGTTTCCACTTCTGGAGAGATGGGATGACAAGCACAGGCCTTTACATCTTGCTTGCAACATAGTTTTAAAATGACATGTAATAATTACATACATTTGGGGACCACATGATGATAAATTGATGTATGAACACAACGCATAGTGACCACATTCTGATAAATAATTAGTGCTTCTCTCAAACACCTACTTCACCGAGCTGGGGTCCTTCTCTTCAGCTCCTTTTTCTTAAAGGAGAACTACTTTTACGACCATCATCACATCCACTGGCCACCAGAAGGACAAAAATTTCTGGGTTAGAAGTCAGGAGGCCTGGATCTAAGTCCTAACATTTCCTAGCTGTTTGGTGATGACGGCTAACAGTTAATAGTGACTGTGTATGATACAGCAGCCCCCACTAACAAAGACTGTGATTATGCACTCATCCCATCTTCCTGGCCTATGAAGTAGGTGCTATTTTTAATTCTGCTTCACAGCTCAGTGACTTGTATGGAGTGATTAAGCGGCTGGTTTGAGGTCATAAGTGGTGGAACCATAAACTTTAATAATAAACATTTCTGAGTCTCTTCAGGTAATTTTTAAATGTAAAGTGAAGACAGCATTTGTCCTTTTCATCTTCAGTGATATTAACCTGAGATAACATGTGTAAAGGATCCTTGTAATGCGAGTATCACACAAGTGCTGACTTTGTTTCATGCACTTTTATCATTTTGAACCATGTATGGGTATGTGTGTATGTGTGTGAGTAGGTACACATGGGTGCAGGTACCTGAGGAGGTGTTGGGGATTCCCTACATGAGAGTTACAGACAAGCTTCCTGCTGTGAGCCTCCTGATGTGGGTGCTGGGAATTGAACTTGGGTCCTCTGAAAGAACAGCAAGTGTTCTTAACCACTGAGCCACCTCACCAGCCCCCATTTCTGATTATTTGTGGTGTGTGAAAAATTAAAGTTGAGCTGTTTTATATGGCCTCATAAAAATTAGAATGTGAGTAAATGATATGTACTATTTTCTACTTGGCATTTACAAAGTATTTGGTCAATAAATGGAAGTAATCTAGATATGGGAAAAAGCCTTAGTACCTGCTTTAAAATGTCATTAGCCATTTCTACCAAGAGAGAATTGACAGATGTAGTTGTATTTGCTGGCTTTAATACATACCCTTTAACAAAAGCAAATTATAACTGTAAATATTGTTTATATAACCATAAGTTTGATGGCAGGTTCTATTAGTTTGAATTTTTTGTTTTGTTTTAGCCAAAAACTCTCTCCATTGCCTCTTGTGGTCTGATCTAGTAATAGACACAAGTTCATAAAATGCCTCCAGCTTCAGTAATGGCAACTGAAGTGTGTGGGGCCTTTCCAAGACATGGCAAATAATGGGAAAGCCTCAGCTCAGAGGCAGTCTGGAGTATGAGAGGTGGCTCTGGAGGAACTTGTGGCCACTGCCACTGTCAAGAACCCTGGATTCCATACAGAATAGTTAGAATGAAATCCCTAGCTTTCCACTGGTACCAAATAGGTTTGGGGGGGGAGGGGCTGAAACAGAGAGGGACTTTAGACAAACATGGATTAGCAGCACAATTTCCTTAAGGAGGAAGAACAGGAAGCCATTTTATTTGGCTAGGTTTTTGAAGGGTAAATTTAATTAAAAGGACTTTTTCTTCTAATGCCTGAGAACATACTAAGAATTGCCTTTAAAATGTTCTTGGTTGCTTTTTAAGCACAAAGCTTCCTAAGGTCTTAAATATGTTTTCATGTTATAATTTTAAATATTTGATCCCCCATATAAATAGCAATTATTACCAAGCTTACTACTGTGACTACCAGGCCTCAGGTGTTTAAGACATCCTGGGAGCTTGGCTAAGAAGCGTATTTGTTGACTCATCTCATCCCACAGGCTCCGTGGGTAAATTCAGTCATCATTATCACCGCTTCACAGATGAGGAATTCACAGGAATTCTCAGAGTCAAAGCTAGGGGCTGAATTTGGAGCTAAAACCTAAGCCAGATCTGGAAACATTCTCAGTTTGCTACCCATTATCAACACTGTCTCATCTAAAAATAACAAGATAAAATGTCACTAAGGACATTGTTACCCATTATCAACACTGCCTCATCTAAAAATAACAAGACAAAATGTCACTAAGGACATGCCTGTAATATTTTTTTCTTTTACATGAGAATAAGCAACAAGCTTCTGAGTCCTACACCTAGGAATACCAGTGTTCACTGTTCTGCCTGGCAGTCAGAGCCGGCTGCTTTAAGGCTGGTGGCTGCTACACAATTACAAAAAACTATTTACTACTTGTTCACAGACAATGCCTTTATAGAGATGTAAGGCAATTATTTAATCTCTTCTTCAAAAAACTGATTTACATGGTGCTTGAGCTGAACACATAGGAAAATAAACAACATAAACTTGCTAAGTCTTTAAGAATATGAAGGTGAAAGATGCTGTCTTCAGATACATACTGAGTCTGCACAAAGACTAGCTTTGTTTCTCTCTGATGTAATGCCTGTCACAAGGACAGAACTCAAGCTCTGCTGAGGCTTCCTAGTCCATGAGGACATCAACGCCACCCCTTAGAACAGGCAAGCCTTCTACTCATTTGTTTAGTTGCTTTTGTAGGTTTCTGGACCAATGTCACATACAAAGACCACGACAACATTCAACAGCTTCTCCATTTTCTGTCATTAGTAGGTCTGGAAGTGGCCATCCTCCTCTGGGCCTCTCTCTCCAATTCAGGACAGCAGACTCGTAGGCCCTAAAGTTTTAGTCTGCTTCTTAACTCCAACATTCACTGGGACTATCATGCAGCCTACAGCAGCTGCTGGATACCCTCAGCAACTAATTGGCCATGGCTGCCAGGCCTTGTCGGCCCAGGAAAACTTCCTAAATTCAAGCAATGGTCCCTGTGGGAGAGACCTGTACCTGCCTTTAAAATGTTATTGGTCATCTATATGCTTCAAACAATAGCCATAAATGAGAAGAAAATTCCAGTGTGTGGGGCTATGTCCTGATTTGTATTCATAAAATGGTGGCCCACAAACATATGGGCATCTGGTCAAGTCAGAGCAACCCTGGAAAAGATAGGCCCCAGCCTTGGGTAGGCAGAGAACTCTCAGCTCATAAAATCCAAGCTCCCCAACTGCACACAACCTTCCTAGAGCAATCTGAAGGGCACCTCAGCCTGGGCTGCCTGCATTCAGATTTTCTTTAAAAATGACACAAGCCGTCTGTTTCAAACATTCTCTCTGACCTTGAATTTCAGGTCAGAGGACTTACCTGGT